TTACAGCCCAGACCTGGAGCTCTCACTCACCAAACACAGTACAGACCGGGAGCTCTCACTCACCAAACACAGTACAGACCGGGAGCTCTCACTCACCAAACACAGTACAGACCTGAAGCTCTCACTCACCAAACACAGCACATCTGAAGTGTTTTTAGAACCAAACATAATGCTTCATTTTATGAGTTTGATTGGGACAATAAGGCAGCCTTTCCTAACGACAGTTAGAATCATACACATGCTGCCCATAAGACGCTTTGCCCACTGAACAGCTGGCAAAGGCAGAAGATGGAAGGCAGCACAGGATGCAGCTCAGTTCACTCATCAGATAAAATGACAACAGCTGTTTTGAAAGTCATGTCTCTCTCAATGTTGCATTTGCAGATTCACACGAAAGCCTAATCTGTTTCTTGGAGATGGAATCAATCGAGTCTAATTAGATTTGTAATAGTTCCCTTCAAGATAGAAGGTCAAAGGGCAAATTCCGAGCTGCATGCAGATGACGTAAAATCACCTCGAGCTTCATTGGCATTGTTACCGGAGGTACTACAAAATACATTTTGGTATTTAACAAACTGTCACAACAGGGGATATAGTAATGGAGAAGTAATGGAAACAGTACTGGATTGCAGAAAAGCAATCAAAAATAATTTTACCAATCATGAATGTGATCAAATCAAATCAAATGTGTTTTTCATGTATTGTTGTCTTTAGAAAAACAAGGCAAACAAGTTGTTATTTAATGCACAATGTATATTCGGCAAAAGGGAAAAGATTATTGTTTTATCACTGTGACTGTGATATAGTGCCACCATGGAAATTTGTTTTACTGAGTATATATCATTCCAAAGGGCCAGCAATGAGAGGTTTACATCCTCTAAAACACCATGTTGAATGGTTGATATCCCACAGTATACCTTGCGATGGATTCATCCTTCTGTCCATCTCCTGTGCCTGACACCTGAACCCTGTGTGAGCTCATCATTTAGTCTGCAACTGTCCATGATTTCTGTGTCAACAAGAACATGCTATTGGACCAATAATGCAACATTACATCAGCAGCGTGTTACACCAACACCACAACCTTACATCAAGAACACAATTTTACATCACAAACACAATTTTAGGCCTGAAATGCAACTTTCTATCAATACCACAACCTTACATTAGAACACAGTCTTAAATAACTATATGGACCAAAAACCACATTTCGATAGTTATAGGTGGAATGGCGATACCCTGTATAAGGTCACACATTCGATCAATTTAGGCACTCGACTTAAGTTGCATGTTTTTGCACATTGGAAGGAAACTGGAGGATCCACTGAAAAGTCACACACACACACAGGATGAACATGCAAACTCCACACACCCAAAACAGCAGTGTGAGGCAACAGCGCTAACCACTGCACCACTGCGCCACACTCATTTTATACGCTTGCACGATGTGCAGTGTCAATGTTGACATGGCATTTCATGCACATGCAATTGTGAAATCGCAAGGACCACTGGGTTTAAACCATCAGCTTCATTACACACAGCAGTTGTTTGTTGGCACAACTAACAGCACCACCAACCCATCTGACAGACTCTGTTAGTAAATAAGTTCTATTTGGCTATATAGTTAATTTTCAACTGCTAAATTTAGCCAAAACTTGAAATATCGTTATGTGATCTTTGTCCAGTATTCAAAGATTCAAGATTCAAGATTCAAAGAACTTTATTAATCCCAAAGGGAAATTGCTAACACACTTTGATTTAGCCCTAACACACAATACGATCACAAAAAAATAATTCATTCTAATGGTTATATGTACTGTATTATGCAAAACGATGCAGCTAAGCGACGGGGCTAACCTTTGTTTAAGCACAGACTATATTGACACACAAGAATCGTAGAAAGTAAATTAAGCAAAGTATTTGAAGGCAAAGGCAGGCTAGGCTACTGTAAGAGGCTAAATGGGACATATTTATGGCTAACCTCACATTATTGGGTGAGTCCATCAAACCTTAATATCTTCTTTTAAGATGTATTTGCACTGTAGTCGTGCTCTGTTGATATTTAAGTTCTGCCTTGTAATACTGACAGACGACTGCATTTTCATTCACTTTTAACGTGAAGTGCAGCCACACAAATTAAGCTTTCGGTCTTTATGTGGATCCTCATCTTCTATGCGTCATCTCACCGTTTTGCCTAGTAACAGAGAAGGAATAATTTAATCAATAATTTTTAATAATGGAGTTTAATCGAGTAATTATGACATGGGTATTTTCTATGAAGTGGGCAAAATGTAAGATGTCACATGTAAGATGTCACAAACGCTTCTAAGAAGACAGAGTGCGGTCAAAATAAAATGCAAATACAGGGTTTCCTTCCCTCTTTGCAAATATACAACTACTGTCTATGAAACTACATTTCATTATTGCAAACATAATTCTCAAGACAAAAATAAAAAATGCCTGTGTTGCATGGGTCCAGTAAAGCAGCCTCAACATAAAACCCTTTCACACCACTCTCTACCCACAGCTTTATTCTAGTCAGTTTGTAATATTGCTCTTAAAACAGAAGGTGAATGTTTACGGACGAAAAAGCTAAAATATACAACCTATCTGGCAAATGGTTTAAAAAAAGAAGCATGACAATCATTGAGAGTATTCTTAGTAAGTTATTACTCTTCAAAAAAATAAATATTGCAAGTCATATTTTTAACCTGTGAGCTATCTGTCAATGTTTTTAAATGAAACGAATCAGGTAACAATGGTATCCCCCCCCCCTTTCCCCTCCATCAGCTTCCCCGTGAGACACCGCTAACTGAATGTTTTGACTTTGGCTGTGAATTCTGGGATTCTGTGCAAAGTCACAACTGAAGTGCTTGCTTTGTTTACAACCAGGAAGGAATGTTATTGTTTTCTATTTAAAATCTTTAATAGAGCCCTAATTTTAATGCACAGTAAAAGTATATCCATATAAATGGTATGTATCATTGTATACCTTTTTGAAAATATACCGTAGATATACCGTAAAAATCTGATATACCACCCTGCCCTACCTTATACGAAATAAGCAACCCATCAAAAAGAACACAACCTTACAAAAACAGCAAAATACCAGACCAGAAACACATCCTTATATCAATACCTCCTTAAATCAACAACACATTACATAAACACAACCTTACATCAAGAACACAAATTTACATCAGTAAAACAACCGAACATCTTGAACATGACCTTTTGACAACAACATAAAGTTACAGCAAAACTATGGCCATGTCAACTGTTTCTCATTGGAGCAAATCCAAATAATAGCATGTGTAACCAAGCTATAACGACAAGCCTAAAATGTGGGCTTGGATGCTGCCTAATTATCCAGTATCCGTGTGGGCAGATGCATTGCTGTAAGCTGTCAGTATACTGCTGGTCCCGCATTTGTATCACTGTATTCTGACTTCCTGACGTCTCCGCAGAGCTAGTCAGCAGTGGACCTGCGAGCTAGCACCCTGCTATTCACTCAGTCTGTTAGCATGAAACGCTAAAGCTTGATTGGTGGTTGTTCGTAGGTGGAGCTTATGCTATGGCCTACAGATGTGGCCTAGCATTTAGACCTTTGCGTGGTCTGTGTGGCCATGATGTGTAGTTACATTTCTGGGAGTGGCGTATGTAGGATGTGATGTAGGATACATAGCTACGCCATGCCTACATTGTACTGGCAGCATTAATTCTATGCACAACCATCCATCAGCTTAAGCACCATGTTGTCCTTCTGTGATGCTTCCTGCATTTTCACACCTCCCTGCCTCACCCTGTCCGTCAGGAGTGGAGTGTCAAAGGCCAAAGCACCAGAACTCGAGTGAGAACGACATAGAGGTGATTTCCAGCGGCACGCCTGACAGCCCTGAGCTCTACATGAAGGGCACCACGCCACCCGACCTGACGCCCGACCTAAGCCCTGCACCCAGCCGGCCTTCCACACCCCCCTGCAGCCCACCCAAGCCCACCCACCGCGCCAAGAACGCCCGCTTTCTGCGGCAGAGTGCGGTGGACGACGAGCGAGGCACCGCTGAGATCCAGGTGCTGATGGAAGGGCGGGGTGGAGGTGGCGAGTACTTGCGTCCCAACAGCTGGGGCGAGGACAAGCACTCATCCGGGGGCGGGGGCAGCAGCAGGGGGGGCAGCCGGGGCAGTAGCCGCTCAACGACCCCCTCGGTGCAGGACGAAACACGGCTGCCGCGCACCAATGGCCACAGGCACGCCCCGTCCAACCACAAGCCCAGAGAACATGCCTCGTCCAATCACAAGCCCCGGGAGCGGTGGGCAGACTGCCCCACGGTGGCCTGGACTACGCAGCGGGCTCTCAGTGAGAGCCTGGCCCACTCGCGGCTGCTGGAACAGGATGAGGAAAAGCTGAGCAACTACGAGATGGAGATGAGACCCCTCCAGCCCATGGACTCGTCCTTCCAGAAGCACTACGGGCCGAGTGAGGAGCGGCACGGGCACGCAGAGCCCCGCCCCCACACGCTGCACAGACTGCAGCCCAAAAGCCGCGAGGCCCGGGAGGCCCGGGATGGGGTGCGGTCCCCCGGTGCCCGTGAGGCCCGGAACGGGGACCCGGACTCAGTGCAGAAGCTGGACAGCCTGCGTGCCGGGGGGGAGGTGCTGGAGGGGAGACCCTTGCGCCGGGACCTCACGCTCTCCCCCCCACAGAAATCCTCCCCCATTGCACTAGAACACGACGAGGAGAACCTGGTCCAGCTCAAGTCAAACTCGGTGAGTGAGCAGTTGGGGACTGAGGGACTGGATTTAGCGTGTGGCAGGATAGTGAGCACACTCTAGGTGCCCAGGGAGCTGAGTGGGGTGAAACAGAGGCAGGATGATGAAGCGGGACTGTCAGACACCCCCACCCCCACCAGAAAGCTCTCCGATAACAATCTGCACCCCTCGGTGCAGCCCGCTGGGCCGACCCAATCCGACGCATTCTGCGGCTGCACTGCAGACCCAGTACAGAGAGGAGTTTGATCGTAGCGGGGTATCCGGAGAGCCCGGGCGTTCCCTATGTCCACGTGGGGTGGCGGGGGCTGAGTGGGGGCTCACAGCCACCCACTCTCAAAGCATCCCTCAGCAGCATGCTCACACGCACGTAAACACACACAGACAAACGCAGAATCCAGTGCAGAGCCACCTCCTCACAGATGCCCTGTTTGTCTTCTGCCTGCTGCAGAGAGCCTGAAAAAGACACTGTGGATGAGCTGCTCTGCTGTATATGTGATCTATATAAGGGACGGGGGTCCTATGTATATCCCATGACCCCCTCATGATCCCCGGCTGCTGCTTGTTCACCACCCCACCCCCCCCCACACACACACACACACACGCTCACACACCTGTGCTCTTGGTGCGTAGCTCCATCCACGGTCTGCTGTGCCTCACACTCCTTAGTAACAGCAGATTGGCACAGTGGCCCTGTCTGCAATGCAGCCCCTCCATTGGCTGCCTGGCGCTCTGTTGCTAGGGAACAGCTTATGCCTTGCTCTGCCAGGAGCCAATCAGCCTGCAAGCAAGGGTGCCTGGGGAGTGGGGGTTGTTTGCAGCAGATAAATGCAAGCAATGCAGCACTCTTGTATAAGGCACACTCAAGAGCAAACACGTAGGTCCACATATCACACACACGCAGGTCCACATATCACACACACATAGGTTCACATTTCACACACATGTAGATCCACATATCACACACACATGTAGATCCACATATCACACACACATGTAGAA